ATCGAAAGGTTAATAAAGTGACATAGATCCTAAACTTGCAATTCTTGCTTGAACATTCAATAAACAAAATTACAAACCGACATGTACTCTTCTTCAGAAAGGTAGCACCGTACTTCGTACAGGGTAAAGCCGCAGCTACGGAAGTAAGGAATTGCAAGCCGAGGTGCAGCGCCCAGGAGACATTATTCCTAGTCGTGATTGCCGCCCTAGCAGGTCAAAAAAAGCCCTGCTGCAGGAGTACTGTGACAGTAGTGATGTGAGTACATTTGTAAACGTGATATACGGAAGATAACTACTGACGGAATTATAAGGGCCTGCAATTGGAGGAACATATATCCATCATTACTGGCTGACGAATTACGGTAGTCAGTCACGGCAAGAAGGCACGCAACCATCCAGCGCCGGTGAAATTGCCGCCATGTAAGTTGCATCGGCCATAATATCGTTATAAATATGATGCATTATGTTTGACGCACACGGACTGGCGAAGGCATAAATGGTCAATCGAGTGTTGAGGAGGTGGAGTTTCGTGAAAGTCAATGACAAATTGTGATTAATACGTGATAGAGGTTGAATTTGTGTCGTACAACGTACTGAGGAAAAGCTGTTTGCATATCGTTATCATAGTCCTCTATTCCACTGGTTGTTCTGGTTGTGAGAGCACAACTACCTTAGGTCAACACTCCTCGTTTTTCCTCATCCTCCCAAGTTCATTTTTGTTCTCAGTTATCTTCCGCCATGGTTGAACTAGAGATCTGCTCGGATGGTATGTTTCATGACCAAGAGAACGTTTGTAGTAAAAACACACGGAGTAATTTTTGACGTCCTCAGGGAAGTCGTTCCATATTTTTTTGATGTCAGAGGTAGTAGGGATCACGTCCGTCCCAGAAAATTGCCCAATTTGTCGCTCGATAAGCAGTCCTAAACGAAGGCGTTGCACTCTGGTAACTTCTTCTTTTTTTGTTTGACCTTCGGTCAGTTCTACTCCATAATTTCGAGTACATTTTTCACTTCCGGTTAAAAATTCATATTTCGTGAGATAGGCCAATAACGTGGCTCGCCTGAGGGGCAATCGATGGATGTTCAGGATTACAAACTGGTTTACGCTTGATAACAAGGATCTATCTGCTTGTTCAGAACATTCTGGAACGAGCTGATATCAAATCCATGGACAACAGTGGAAGCAAAAGGCGCATTCTTATGTTGCAACGATAAGAAGGGAAAGTCAGATTACAGGTAAGAGATTTTTTTAAAATTCTTTTGCAGCATTTATGTTTACTAGATAAATATTTAATCATAATTTTTCTTTCCGAGGCAGTAAAAGGGCAAATTATGTAGTCGACGACCTTTTTTTATTTCTCAGCCTTCACCTTTCTTCCACAACACAGCTTCAAATGGCATGAGGTAAAGGTTGGTCAGTCGATAGAGTGGCGAAATCACAGACGCAATACAGTGAGTTCGAATCTTTTTCATCCTTTCGAGGTAAATAAACGAGTATCACTGTGCGGGAAGGAGGACTGTAAATATTGATTTCCAAAAATAATACACTCCTTTCTGAAACTATCGCTACAGAGATCAACTTCGCAGAATGAGCTACGTGAAGGTAAAGGAACTGCAGAATGTACGAAACGGACATCCAGGGAGTAACGAACTTTTGGCTCCTTTCCAGTAATCAGACTTAAAGCCTAAAAGTTACGCTATTAACTATGCGACAACCTCTCGGCATATGAAACCTTACAAATGCCATTTCATTCTGCCCTAAGTGATATAACCTTGATCATGCAGATCGTCACGTGATGAGGTAGTAAACTTGATGGTTGTTTGGCCAGGCTATCGACCTGATGCACGTTTCTTTGCTGCTTATTCCAGTCCTGTTGATTTCAGTTGCATGCCCGTCAGAAATCGGTTTTGTATTAAAAACGCATATGTAAAAATTTTCCCTTACCGCAATGAAAACTTCGGATTCCACGCCGTCATCGCAGAAGCGAAGTCGATTTGCCCAGCCCGTTCCCACGGACACAGGGAGGCCTTCGTCGTTTTTGGCGGCACTCGTTTTGACTCCGAATTGAGGGTCGTTGGTGAGTGCTTGAGCAGCCAAATGCCAGTAGGAGTCAAAGACGATCGTCAGCTGTTTCGCCAGATGCGGGCAACCCGTCGCAAGAAATCCTATTTCCATTTTCTGAAACCCGCTTGACAGAATTATGCGTAAAATTGCCAAAACGAACAATGCACCTGATTGAGAGACCGCCAATCGAGATTCGCTGATCCGACGTAGAAACTTACCTCGTCTACCACAATGAATTTCGAGTGCATTTTTCCAGATCCGTAAATCTTCGCCAGATTTACTGTACGTCGTTCAATCACATCTGTTTATAAATAGATAGTTATCAAGTCATAACAGGAAGTTCAAAATTCTAAAAACCGTCTGAGAACTAACGCCCCCCCCCCATTAGAACGATGCACAGTCATTAACATTAATAAATCAGTTCAAATCAAGGACGCAATTACTTTCATCCTTTCAATACATTTATCAGTACTTAATATTTAGCTAAAATCAGCAGTAGTCCAAGTACTATGTTATTTTGAGAAGACATGCCACCTCTGTTCACAACGATCATCGGTTCAGATAAAACCGTAAAGATGATAATAATAATAAGCGGCTATGATTTATTTTGGATATCATTAAAATCATACACCATATTGAAATAATACGCCATTCATGCCTGTAAGTTATAGCTGTCATTTTGAGAATTATGCCTGGCGAATCCCTGTTCACACGATCAGAAGGGATGATTCCCTCGACTGACCCACCAACACTATTTGACTCGAATCAGAAAGAGAAATCATCATACCACGTTCCTTCCGTAAATGCGTAGAGAGACTGGCACAAGGGCGACAAATCATCCTAAGTTTTCTTCCCTCATGTTGGTATAAAACACCCAACCGTGAATTTTGAGTGATTGTGCTGCAGATTATTTTTTTTCCTGCAGGAAAACATCTGTGGCCATTTTGTTAGCGATTCGTCCTGTGACAGTCAACCAAGCGGGTGGATTTAGTCTCGCATTTTACCTGTCTTCACGAGTCCTCTGACTTGGCATGCAAACATAATCGATTACTGACTCAACTTCGTACCAACGGACAAACAGATGACACATTTCTCCTCCACCAGTTTGGGTAAGGGAGGAGACAGTGCGATGACTGCGAGTTTACACCGATGTGCATTAAATAGATCTACCGTAACATTATTTAATTCATTTCCTCATGTTACGTTAAAATGGATAGGTTTTGGTGAATGGTTTTCAGTTTATGAATTTTGAATGATTTACGTTTTATTAATGAATCCTACAAATCAGTCAAGCAGTTCCAGATCAGGTGATTTCAGGTTTAAGGGTCGCTTATCCTTTTTGCTCGCTAAAAAAGGTAGCGGTAGCGTCAGACCGTGTCTGCAGCGTTCCAGATCCTGTGCAACCGTTTTGAGCCTCGGCGGAAGATGACCATAGTCTGGAGCAGGATCCCT